AAAAAAAAAATAGCCTGTTGCAGTTAGAAGCAATATGGCCTAAACGTTTGGCGGGTCTTATATTGCATTTCGTTTGTGAAATCTAATTTCTGATGAAAAGTCGGAGGCAAAATGCTGAAAATCAGCCGAAGATTAGAAATTGAAGGAAATTTCAGGTTGGTTTTTGACACTAATCTCACCTGGCCCGGTCAAATAACTGGTTTCAAAGTTGAGAAATCAATTAATCAAAGAATATAAGAATTCAAATAAAGCTAGATGAACAAAAGAAATAACGAGAAATGTACAATCTTAAATTAGATCTTTAAACCAGTCATTTGGCTAGGCTTGTTTAGCTTAGTGTTAATTAAATAGTTTAGTAGTCGTGACGCGACTTTTTGAATATTCATTCGTATAATAACTGGCAAAATAACTTTCCTTCGTTGATTCCTCCGCCATAATTAATTTTCATTATTTACATCCTTCACTATATATTTCTTAATTCTCCGTATTCAAGGTATTTCTAAGAATAAAAATCATTGGATCGGTCAAAATGTCAGATACTATGTCGTGATAATAAAAATGTTATAGAGAAAATATCAATGGACTTCAAATTTTCAACCGCGAGAAAATTTTTCTCTTACCACATTTTCGCTTGGGAATAAATAACGTTTCTCTTTTATTATTTTTATATTAGTATTAAAAGCGAATATGCACTTAAAAAGCGCTTTACCCTCCTTCTGCATACTGGGTCAGTAATTTTAAGTAATTTTTCATTTTCTGCATGCTGTTGTTTCAATCTTGCTTTGTTTAACGAAATTAAGGTTGTAAAGTAAGGTAACTAAGGTAATAAGTTAGACAAATGTGTCTGTGATGTTGCCAGTAGGGCTACGAATTATTGTACGATGTTTGTAAATATCGATGTAGAGAAAGATTCCTGCTGCGTAATTCGAAAGGAAGTGCTTCGTAGAAGATGAATATTTTTGTTGATGTCTACATTTCTTTGTCTCAGTTCGCTGTGGAGTGCCGAAGCGTGCAGACGTGTCTCTAGTGCCCAGCGTAGTCCGAAAGCAACACGTGTCGCCCAACCGTCGAAAGAGAACACAGCCAAGTGTCCTCTATCCTTTAGGGAGAAGAAAATCCCACGCACCTAACCCCAACCCGAATACAAGACTCATAGCCTCACGACTAGTTATTCATTCCGAATTAACTAGCTCGATGATGGCCC